GCAACCATGCTAGCAGCAGTTCCCTCAGAGCAAAGGAGGGGTTCAAAACAGGGAGAGCTCCGGGAACATCGAGTAGTGGGGCCCTATTGCCAACGAAGAACCAGAAACCGAAGAGAAGTAAAAGGGTATCTATTGCCAAGAAAACGGACGACGGGGACAAGGAGGATGAGACGGAGGAGACGGGGTACAATCGAGAAAAAGGGACTACAATAAGGATGCTGAAGAGGAGGAGACAAAAGAAGAAGAAAAAGAAGACAAAGCAGAAGAATAGTTAGGGGATGAGGACAACAAAAACAGATGGAGGGACCTATGAGATAACGAGAGTAACAAAGAATGAAGTACATCAAGGGTACTCAAGATTTCAGGCTAAAAATTCATACTAAGGCCCCAACAAACACTTACTCCTTATGAACCCCGTCTTACATCTCATTCCAAATGTACATCATCCGATCTGTATCCCCCGCCAGATTAATTCACAGCGCCATCGAGCTATACCCATCCAGACAATATAGTTACAAATTTATCCCAACACCCACCGAACGCTTAATATCTCTTATCCTACCAACACCACCACCACAGGACCATGACCGAGATCCTGCGCCATACTCAGATACTTCTCTCCTCATATTCATACAACTGATCGCACAGTGTGCCCACTCCATCCACCCATAGCAGCAATCTCGTAGCCATTCCCTCAGAAACCTGTTCTCGATAACTTTGAACTTCACCTTCATGCATCCTCTCATTCAGAGCCCCCACTTCTCCCTCCATCGCCCCATTCATTGTGTCAGCGAGATGCCGACAAAGACCGCCGTGACGTACATAAATTTTTTACTCCGAACGCTCCGAAATAAACTTTACGATCGATCCTGTATTCTTTCAGCTGCAAACATTGCCTAGTCATAGCATGCAAAGCACACCCCCGCGCACGAGCCCATCAATACGAGGAGTATGGAGAGAAAGCGCGAATGAAACATAAGGGCATAAAAGACAGAGAAATACGAAGATCCCGACAGGGGTTTTCAGTTGATGATGAGAAGTACTCCACACGGAAGAACCCATCAGTACCGAGGGATGACTCAATAGATCCAGGATAGGAGATAATGAATAAGAGAGAAGGAAATGTGAGGATAATGAAGACATAATGGACGTAGGATTTGCATCAGGAAGAATATCGAATTCGTCCATTCCCAGGCCATTTCACTCATGCATCAAAGAACAGGAAAAACAACGAAAAACAGCGAGGCACATGAATCATCAGTGAGTGTAATTGATTCGAAAAAACTAATGCAGCGTCACACTATAAAACTACTGGTTCCCACAGTACCATTCGATCACCATTTTTACCACACAAATGGTAGACAATCGTTCAGAATGTTTAAACATGGCTACGGTGGTGGCAAACATCTTAAAACATGTCTTTCGCTAGTCTTGCCACAAACATAGCTCATCAGAGGAGATAAAAGAAGCACATAATTAAAACGTCATTTTGGTACATAGGAGAACCACGGATCCCAGTACATAGCAAGATCTACGATGAGAGGTCATTGAAGGGTTCCATAATGATCAGTCGAACACATCACCTCAGGTTGAGCCTCCGCAGTTCCCTCCTCCTCCAAGTGCATGTTCAACATCTCTTCAAATATGAAGGGAGACTCAATGCCCGATTCACGAGATCTTACGAGAGCCAAGCAACACAGCTAATCGCGGCGAGCACAAGAGCGTCACACCCAACGGGCACAATGAACAGGAGAAAGCTAAAGTCGCAAAGAATGCGAGCGATAGTCTTGGTAAAGAATGGGTCGGCCAAATAGAGATTTCGGCAGAAACCGAGGTAGTGAGGACGATCGGGGGACTATGCATAGCAGTACCGTACTTCTTCGTGAAGTAGAAATGATGACAACTAGTCGGGAGCATCAATGAGGTACCGTACAACGGATTGAAAAAAATAAGTCCGCTCATGCGCTATCCCACTGTTGCTACCAATTGAAGAGGATTATTCATGAGTTCTCTCTGCTTAAGTACTCAATAGACATTACTCTGGGCTCCTGTAGACCGTAGGTAGGGGCAGTTCTTGACCCTTCCAAGCGGAGGGTTTACCCATTTTTCGTATCGAAAAAATGCAAAAAGCAATGTCGTCCAACAGTTTTGATCTAGATCCGCCTTCATCGTACCATCCTCCATAACACATCTACAGGGGTAGCAACCAGGGTAGGACGGATTGGTAGGGTCCTAAGTATGCCTAGTAAAGCAGCTACCCTTTTATATATAAAGGACCTGCCATCTGTTTTGAGGCA